GTGTGCTTTCAGAATGGGTTGGAAACCAAGTGAGATGCGGGGTTAGCCATTGGTTGCTTTTATAGGGGTTATGTGCGACTACCATGGTTATTGAGGGGGATGCTAGGAGTTTAGACTATGGCTCGTGCTTTCCTGAAAGTTCCTAGACCTCTTCGACCTGATTCTTCAAAAATGCCGTTGATTTGAGGCGGCAAAGCAGAGCAGCTTCTCATGGTCTGACGCTCAGCATACCCCAAGCCCCAACCCCCTTCAATGTATATGAGCTATAGTCTAGGCTACTATAGGGGTTATTAAGGGGGATACTAGGAGTTTAGACTACCGCTCATATAGTTATTCGTATTTTATAGGGCATTCTATAGAAGTCTACAGGGATCAGACAGGGAGTACCTGACGGAAAAGGAATTGAGTTTTTTGGTTTGCCTTTGGGCTTAGAGAAGGTGAGGCTAACTTGTAAGCTTGGGTGCTGAGAAGCATGTCGTGTGGGGAGGAGAGGTGTTGCAGGTGCCGAAGTCATTGAAGTCTTGGGGCGTTGACGGATGCGAGGCGAGGAATTCAAAGACGCAGCGACGTGTACCTTTCTGGCCAGCATTGCCTGTACGTACGACATGCGTTCATAACATGTATCGTCATTGCTCGAAGTACACATGAGGTAGAGTAAATCCGTTCGCTGCAGCAGCAGCAGCAGCAGCTGTTGATGACGATGATGACGATGATGATGATGATGATGATGATCCACAGCCAGAATTGCCATAGCAGAAGGAGGCCTTTGATTTTTTTAGAGTTCGTATGCCAAAGAGTAACGAGTAATTTTTTCATCTCCTGGATATAGTAGCGCTTCTGCAGTACCCCTACCGAGGCAAAATGCATTGCTACTTCGCTAGGCCTCTACATGATGGTTTCCCAAACCAAGGGAAACCCAATATAGTCCGCTGTAATCCTTCTTATGGGGACCCCTACAAAGGTACCCCTAATTTGGGGAGACCCCCATATCAGGATTCTTGCCGCATGATGGGTCCCTTGAGAGGCCTGGCCTGCCCGTGTAGCACGCCTGGCTGAAGCGTTGGAGGTCAGTGGCAAGGGGACTTGGGAGTTTCCTAGAGTAGGCGGACCCCCATGAAGAGATTATATAGGGGCTATATGGTGACATTGGCAAATGGGGTAGATGGTACTTTCCCTAAACAGGGGAGTCCCCGTATAGACCCCAGAATATTATAATCCTTGTTCTAGGGACCTTCATATTTGTACCCCTAATTTGGGAAACCTCGCGTCGGAGTTACCCACACGTGCGAGGTGCTTTCGCGAGGGTCCCTGGTTTACATGAGCCCCTTCCCCCGCCTAAATGGCAATCTTCCCAGCCCCAGCCTCACCACAGGGTGGTGGGGAGGTTGCTTCTCCCTAGCTGTTAGCTGCTCGTACAAACCTGTCATTTCCTCTCTAGATCATTTGTAAATACGCTCTCCAATTCCCTCTTCTAAAGTCGTTTTTGCCACTATTTTTTCTTGCAGAATGCCTTTTGCTGTACTTCCTTTTCAGTTTGTTTGAGAATTCTGGTCTTGCATGGAGTTTCCTTTACTTCTTCACATGAGTACGCAGCTGTTACTCCCAAGGCCCAAGCAACCGCGGGAGGGGGGAACCGCCTGCGCGCAACCCCTGTTCTTTTCTGCTCTCTCACTGCCCCTCTCTCTCTCTCTCTCTCTTTCTCTCTTTCTTTTGTTGTTTCGAGCTTTCGTTTGTTTTGTCTTCATTTGGCCATGTCCTTGTTTCGTCCTATGGTTCGTGCATGTTTGTGTTTTCTTTCTTTCTTTCTCGCTGCCTGTCTTTTCTTGAGCTTTCTTATGTGTGTTCTTTATGTCTTAGTGGCATGACATCCTCCGATCCAAAGTACGTACCCTTTGCGAGTCTCAAAGTACACCAGAAGCCGAAGTAGTTCACATTCCTAGGGACTCAAGACAGCAAACCCAAAAAGAATCCAGGGTTCCCAGTGTTGGATCTTTGCAGCCCCACAGCTGCATTGTTGTAACCGTCTTTGACCTGGATGAAGTCAGGGCAGTAAGGACGCCGGCCCTATCTGGAGGATTTCCCACGGTAGCCCTTGCACTGACCTTAAGCACGAACACAGATTCCAGTTCTGAGAGGCGCAAGAGCGGGAGCAAGAG